CAGCTTTACGCACTATGCCGCAGTGCCAGCCCCAACCAAATCCCTTCTTACTGTTTCTGTCTCTTTCCCATAATCTTCACTTATTCTACAAATTCAAGGAATAATATTGAATTGTGGGCATATAGTTTTCACTTTCTTACCAGAAATCTGTTCACTTTTGATAAAATTTCAATCCAACATATGTTTCCTTAAATTTTATCAAAATATCCAAAATGGAATTAGAATTTTCAAGAATGCTGTGTTCAGACCGCCATTTTGGCATATCAGATAAAGCCACCCCCTGCAGTGCCATCATCCCATATGGGCACTTGTTCGAGTCCTGGTTGCTCCACTTCCGATCCAACTCTCTGCTATGGCCTGGGAAAGCAGTAGAAGATGAGCCAACTGCACCCATGCGGGAGACCTGGAAAGAAGCTCCAGGCTCCTGACTTTGTCCAGCTGGCCATCTTTAGCCATCTGGGGTTGAACCAGCAGATGGAAGACCTCTCTCTCTCTCTCTCTCTCTCTCTCTCTCTCTCTTTTCTCTGCCTCTGACTCTCTGTAACTGCCTTTCAAATAAATAAATAAATCTTAAAAAATGCTATCTTTCTGACAAGACAGAGATGATAAAGGATAGATAAAAAGTGTATTTTATTTTAAAAAGTATTAATATAAAGAGAACAGATTTAGTGTCTTTCATAGATAAAATCTAAGAATACAATGATACTTCCCTCTGTTCTTCCCCCTCTCACCCTTCCTTTATTTTTTTCTTTTAATTTTTGTAACAACAAACTTTCAATTTACTTTATAATCACAGGCTTAATGGTCTACTAAATAAAGACTTCAGCAAGTAAATAGTAGAAAGACCACTGTTCCACAGGAATATAGACAACGGCTATATACATTAATCAAATCAGAATATGTCAATTTCACTTAAATATATTTAGTTTTTTCTTGTACTCTATATAATGGCTACCACAAATCAGAGAAAATATATGAAAATTGCCTTTCTGGGTCTGGCTTATTTCACTAAGCATAACAGTCTCCAATGCACCAATTGTGTTGCAAAAGATGGATAAGATGTTGCAAAAAATGGGCAAGACATTGGCTTACTAAAGATTGCGTTTTTTTGTTTGTTTGTTTGTTTTTTGACAGGCAGAGTGGACAGTGAGAGAGACAGAGAGAAAGGTCTTCCTTTGCCATTAGTTCACCCTCCAATGGCCGCCGTGGCTGGCGCGCTGCGGCTGGCGCACCACACTGATCCAAAGGCAGGAGCCAGGTGCTTCTCCTGGTCTCCCATGGGGTGCAGGGCCCAAGGACTTGGGCCATCCTCCACTGCACTCCCTGGCCACAGCAGAGAGCTGGACTTGGAAGAAGGGCAACCGGGACAGAATCCGGCACCCCAACTGGGACTAGAACCCTGTGTGCCGGCACAGCAAGGTGGAGGATTAGCCTAGTGAGCCGCGGCGCTGGCTCAAGATTGCGTTTTAAAAGCATACGGTCAGGGCGCTGGTTCTGTCCCAGTTGCTCCTCTTCCAGTCCAGCTCTCTGCTGTGGCCCAGGAGTGCAGTGGAGGATGGCCCAAGTGCTTGGGCCCTGCACCCACATGGGAGACCAGGAGAAGCACCTGACTCCTGGCTTCAGATCAGTGCGGTGCGCCAGCCGCAGTGCGCCAGTCGCAGCGGCCATTGGGGGGTGAACCAACGGAAAAAAGAAGACCTTTCTCTCTGTCTCTCTCACTGTCCACTCTGCCTGTCAATAATAATAATAATAATAATAATAATAATAATAATAAGCATACTAGTGGCACTGTGGTATAGTGGGTAAAGCCACCACTTCCAATGCCGGCATCCCATATGGGAGCCAGTTGCAGACCTGGCTGCCCCACTTCTAATCCAGCTCTGCTATGGTCTGGGAAAGCAGCAGAAGACAGGCCAAGTTCTTGGGCTCCTGCACCTATGTGGGAGACCCAGAAGAAAATAAATAAATCCTTAAAAATGCAATGTTGAAAATCAACATATAATCTGACCTTAATAGAGAAAATACATTTCAGCAAATCTTAAGTATAAAATTTGCTCATTGTTTTTTGGAAAATTCTTTGAAATTCATTCATACTGTGTGGATGGTGCTATGACAGAAACTTTAAAACTGAAATTGAAGAACCTTGAGGACTCAGATATAATTCCAATATTATAATCCAATGCATGCCAAACACATCCTTCATACTCTATCAAGGGAAAAGCTGTTAATATTTGAAAGTCTTAACTCCCATTTTCAAACGTGTTCTAAACATAGATCTAGTTTCAACAAAGCTAAATTTACCTCTCCTCCAGTAGAAACCCATGGGATATCTATTTGTGAAGTTCCCAACAAATTTGGTCCTTTAGATGGAAAATCCCCTGAGAAGATACTGTGTTTGTTATATAAGACTCCTAATCAATATAGTGCAATTGTTTCTGAGCAACATCAGTCATGAGTGGATAGTTTAACACATCTACCACCAGTGTGAGTTTGGATGATTCAGAAGAAAGCATACAGAATTTGCACAGAAAATTTAATGCTAAATAGGAAGAGTTTGATAAGGATGACTCTGGATTATCTCTAGAATTCTGAAACCAAGGTGCATTCTTAATTTCCAATGTTTGCTTTAACACTTATTAAGGTATTTATCTACAAGCAGGAAGACAAATGAAAAAAAGAGATTTTGTAATTTGCTAATCCACACATTCATTATACAAGGTTAAACCTGTGCTCAGATATAGCAGTAAAAACATTAAATAAATTCCTATGCATAGAGATTTTACATTCTAGTGAAACACAACAGGTAAGACTAACTGCTGTGGAATAAGGAAAAGTTGGAAAGGAAGAAGATGGATCAAGGTTAGTGGGGATCTAGGAGCAAGACTTTCACACTTCAGAGGTTAAAAAATGTTTACTTTAGGGTAGACACTGAGGAGAGATCTGAAATTGCTGAAGGTCTGTGCCATGGTACTATCTTGGGAAAATCATATCAGGTGGTGAAAATGTCCTGAGTTGTCCATATTTGTTGAATTACAAAATCCTACAGTAGATGTGGACAGGCTAGATCGTCAGAGTTGGGATAGGGCAGATATATTTGAAGCTTTAAAAGGGTCTAATTTTGTCAGGTATTTGCTTTTGCTCTGAATGAGATGGAAGGATATAGGAGGTTGGAAAGGAAGGGTAAATCACGTCTCAGCTTTTGGTTAAGATCAAGTGCAGAAAGGAAGTACAGACGCGATTTTGCTCACACTCATTGTATAGAAAAAATAGCGGTAATGAAACTAATAATTACCATAGTGCTAAATACTTTCCTTAATATGTTCCAGCTTCTACTGAAAATTTTCATGATTTGCTATTTGCTGAAAGTATTTTATGTATTAAAAATGCTTTAAAAATTACCAATTTTCATCTTTTTCTGTTTTTAGAAGAATTTGCTTTTTTTTAATACCTTGAGAATATGCATTTGCCCATATTTGAAAAGATTTCCATTGATTAATTATAAACTGGGAAATAACCTGTTTGGGAATTTATAGGAAAAATTCCAAGAAACAGAGAGAAATAATTGAAATTGAAACAGTGTAAAAGGGTCTTATATTAAGGAAAAAGAAATATAACAAAATGGTTAAAATAATTTGTGAAAATGCAGCAAAATATACAACTTTATAGAAAAATGAACAAGTTGATAATCTAAGACAAGCAATAACTAAGGAAAGATATTCTTAAAGGTAAGATAAAGAATAATATTCTCAAAAAAAGACCCTAGAGTGTTAAGATTTCAATAAGGAGAAATGTTTCCCAACATAGAAGAAACATGGAAAATAACCTATTCTTTGAAAACAGACTAATAACTTAATGAGGATTCTGCACTACTTTATATAATTGTCTATAATTATTTGGAGGCTGAAATAAAACACCAAAAGACAAAAGTTATGATTATATATATCCACAAGCAGGATATATATATATATATATATATATATAGAGCATTATATATAAGTATACTTGTATATAAGCATACATTTATATATCATTCTGAATGACATAGATATATGAAGAGAGTTAATAGAAAGTATGAGAATTATTTAGAGCTTGACAACATCATTGGACAAATATAAATATTATTAAAACTTGTTATGTTTTCCAGCAATAAACAGATTTCATGAAAAATGAGTAGGGCCATGCTTTTTAAATTGTAACTTCTGTAACATTCTGACCTCTCACATCTTTCCTGGATTATTTCGACCTGAAAAGCCACACACGAGAAGTTTAGATTTGTATGTGGTTGAAATTGAACCCCACAATAGATTGTGCAATAAGTAGGTGCACTGGGGCCGGTGCTGTGGGCAAAACCACCTCCTGCAGTGCCAGCATCCCATAAGGGCACTGGTTCAAGTTCTGGCTGCTCCTCTTTCAATCCAGCTCCCTGCTATGGCTTGAGAAAGCAGTAAAAGATGGCTCAAGTCCTTGGGCCCCTACACCTGCATGGGAGACCTGGAGGAAACTCCTGACTCCTGGCTTCGGATCGGTGCAGCTTTGGCAGTTGCAGCTATCTAGGGAGTGAACCAAGGGATGGAAGACTTTCTCTCTCTCTTTCTTTCTCTCTCTCTCTCTCTCTCTCTCTCATTCTCTCTCTCTCCCTCTCTGTAACTCTGCCTTTCAAATAAATAAATAAGTCTTAAAAATAAGTAGATGTACACATAATTTAATTGGCTATAATATAATGGACACAATTGAAAAAACTTCTTAAGTACAGAGAAATTTTGTGCGGAGTTGAGAGAACAAATGATATTTAACAAAGTCCATAATCTGGAAATTGATTGAAAGGATAGGATCACACATTAGTGAATGGCCTGGGCATATGTGCAGATATGTAACAGTAGTGCTTATGGCATAAAACCAAGTCAGGACAGAGCCTGCGTACCATATTTGCCTTGTGTTTGCATATGTTTCATTCAGAACAGGTTTAGGACCATTCAGTAGGATTGCAGAACATAGGCTGGATACAAAGTGATATATTTCCATTTATTTGATGCAAAATACTTGTTCAGCTTTTGTGCCTGGATGAAAATAATCTCAATATTCTCTTCTTGTACAGAACATTTTACTGGTACAGAAAATAGCATGTTTTCTAATTGACAATCATGCATGAAACAAACAGCTCCAGTCTGACACCAAGATATTTTATCCTTAATGGGATTCCTGGTCTAGAAGCTGCACATATCTGGATCTCCTTGCCATTCTGTTTCATGTACATTATTGCTGTCACAGGGAACTGTGTGCTTCTCTACCTCATCAGCCATGAAGAGGCCCTGCACCGCCCCATGTACTACTTCCTAGCCTTGCTGTCCCTTACAGATGTTACCGGGTGTACTACATTTGTTCCCAGTATGTTATGTATCTTTTGGTTCAATTTCAAGGAGATTGACTTTAATGCTTGTCTTGCACAGATGTTTTTCATCCACACGCTAACAGGCATGGAGTCTGGGGTGCTCATGCTCATGGCTCTGGACCGCTATGTGGCCATCTGCTACCCTCTTCACTATTCTACCATCCTCACCAATACTGTAATTACTAAAGCTGGGCTCGTCACCTTCATGCGAAGTGTGTTGCTCATGATTCCATTTACTTTCCTCATTAAGCGTCTTCCCTACTGCAGAGGCAACCTCATCCACCACACCTATTGTGACCATATGTCTGTGGCCAAACTATCTTGCGGCAATGTCAAGATGAATGCTATCTATGGTCTCATAGCTGCCGTGTTGATCGGGGGATTTGATATGTTCTGTATTTCCATGTCTTACACCATGATTGCTCGTGCTGTAGTGAAACTTTCATCTGCAGACGCTCGCCACAAAGCTTTCAGTACCTGCACATCACACATATGTGCCATCATCATCACTTATGTCCCAGCCTTCTTCAACTTCTTCACTCACCGCTTTGGGGGACGCACCATACCTCACCATGTCCACATTTTTATAGCTAACTTGTACCTGTTGCTGCCTCCCACATTGAATCCAATTGTCTATGGAGTGAAGACCAAGCAGATCCGTGAAAAGGTGATAAAATTGTTTTTTAGAGAGAAAAAGATGTTGAGTATGAGATAAATCAATGATATATTATTCTGCATTTAATATAAAAATAGATAAACTTAGAGGAGACTCAATACAAAACACAAAAACCATGATCTCAAGAGAAAATATTTGTGAATAATCTGACATAAAATTCAAGAGACAATAATCCAAATGTTTAATTCCACTAATTTGATAGAAAGTTAATTTCTCTACTTTGATAGAAAAATAAAAGAGACAGGAAACTATTAAACTCATTACATAATATAACATTAGTCGGACCTTCAGGAATGTACACACAAAATTGGATATTTAGGTTATACAATTTCAAAGAAACTATTCATGCTTATTTCACTTTGGACTATGCATTGTGAGGAATACACACATAAGAACAGAGTGTCAGATAGCCTAGAGAGACTCCAGAAGAGTGCACATAAGCAAATTGTCTCAGTGTTACAGAAAAGCATGAAACACTTCCCCAGAATGTCAGTGCTGAATTTAAGGGCCCTACCATCCTCTTGTTCTCAGTTTATGTGTAACTACTATAGCTTTGCCTGCTCATTTATCTTTGATACTGTGCTGCCTGAGTAATCATTTGGATTCATATGAACATATCCATGCTTACACGAAAGATGAGGTAAATATGATTACTAGAATTCATCACAATCTGGGACATATGATTTGGAGTTAATAACAACAAGAATTTTGAACAACTTATTGGATATTGTTTGCTGTTAGAGGAGAGGATTTATAAGTAGAAGAAAGGATATGTGAAGAAAATCTATATATTTTTCCAAGCATGGATGCCACTTCTTGACTGCTTTATTTGACTTTAATGTAGAGAGAGAAACACTACAGTGCTCAGGAATAATTAGATTTCTGGAAATAACAGAGAAAAAAGAAAGGGATGTGAAATGTTGAATGTGATGTTAAGAAATAGTAAGATTAAATAAAAAGTGAGAAAAAAGAACATAACTTAAGAGATATTTGTAGCAGTATATAGAATATGATGAGGAAATGGATATAAATGCATAAGTAGGAATGCATATTAATGATATTGCTGAAAATTGTATTCTTGGCTGGCGCCACGGCTCAATAGGCTAATCCTCCACCTGCGGTGCCGGCACACCGGGTTCTAGTCTCGGTCGCTCCTCTTCCTATCCAGCTCTCTGCTGTGGCCCAGGAGTGCAGCGGAGGATGGCCCAAGTCCTTGGGCCCTGCACCCGCATGGGAGACCAAGAGAAGCACCTGGCTCCTGCCTTCGGATCAGCGCGGTGCACCGGCCGCAGCGGCCATTTGGGGGGTGAAACAATGGAAGGAAGACCTTTCTCTCTGTCTCTCTCTCTCACTGTCCACTCTGCCTATCAAAAAAAAAAAAAAAAAAAAAAAAGAAAATTGTATTCTTATCTTCTAATATGGAGGATATATTTTCATATCATGTTATATATGGTTCAGTGGCTCTGAAATACATTAATCATGTATTTGCTATGTAATTTCAACTTCGTTAGAAGGAAAGAAGATTTTTTACCAAAACGTTTTAACATTGTAAAAGTGCCTCTATGTAATGTGAATTAAAGCTTACATCATTCAAGTTGATGCATGTCTTGGAATAATATATATTTTTGTATTTAATAAATTTTGTTTACTAAGTAATTTTACATAAACCATACAGTATTACTATCAAGCAGATCAATGAATTAGTCTTGTAACCTTTCACTTTTAACATATACATTTTGTTGAGCATTATAAAGTGTTTCATATATATTTCATTGAACTTTTATTTCAAAACTATGATGTAAGAATAATTATTTGTATTTTATAAATGATAAATATGAGCTACACAACAGTGAGACTAGATAAGTCTTAAAATATTAAGGTTAAAATGCAAAAATAGAAGTAACACTAATGGCAGAAAAATAAAACTAGAATATAAGCTTAAAATCTGATTAAATAAGACACAACAAAGACAAGATGTTTGAGATATGCTAGTAACAATCTCCAATTTTTCCAACTTCCTTACTACAAACTTGAAAAATGGGTTTAATGGAGAAAATAACATAGCTTTAAAATTAAAAACTTACAACTGAAATAAAGCCAGCAGGTCAAAATCTTTGTGAAATTTTAAAATAATTATGTTAGATGCTGACAGGAAAAAAAAACTCTACTCAGCTTTCATGGAGCTAGCATGAGAGGGAGAAAGGAGAAGAAGGAAGGAAAGTATAGGGGAGCAGCTATAGAGGCGGGGAGCATTGGGGGGAAAAATGGCAGGAGGCACTTCATTTCAAATTCCATATCAAGTGCCAGATACCAGAGTTTGTGAGGCCAAGATCAGTGGGCTTGGTGGAAAAGACAAAGTATTCCTCCTTCAAATTAATACAATTTGATTAAAACCAAGTTATTGGATACAAAGAACTCACACCACAATTTTAATTTAATTAAACCATATTTCCTTTCAAACTAAAAGAGATGTTAGTATCAAGAGGAGGAAGAAAATGAACAAAGTGATTCAAAATGTAGCAAAAAAAAAAAAATCATCTTGCTCCTATGGAATCTCCAGAACAATTTAGCCACAGTTTCAGAATGGTCATGACCCTGGATGTATAGAGATAAAGGATGTAGGACAACAAAGCAGTTCAAACAAGGGAAACAAAATAGAGCAAGCTTTCCACAGGACTGGTTTCCTCTCACAAGTCTCTAGACAGCTGTGTTTTGTGTTTTATTGATCTTACAAAATTAAGCCAAAAACAAATGGAATCTTAGTTCATTCTTTCCCTGGTTCTATCTCTTATTACCAATGAAGGATAATTTACTTTTCCTTGCAGTGAAAAATACCACTGATACAATAGTCCTTCAAAAAAACTTAAAGCTATTTCCAAATAAGCTTTATAGAAATGCTAAAAAATGAATAAGATTGTGCAAGCATGGTTGAACTATTTTATGTACTGTTTAGAGATTATGATTTTGAATTTGATTTGAAAAATGGTTTCATGGAAAAAATAACATAGCTTTGAAAACTAAAGACTTACAGCTAAAATAAAACCAAAAGGCCAAAATCTTTGTTAAATTTTAAAATTATAAGATAGATGCTGACAGAAAGAAAAACTCTACTCAGTTTTCATGGAGCTAGCATGAGAGAGAGAAAAGAGAAGAAAGCAGAAGAGAGGGAGATATCTATATCCAGGATACAGAGTCAAATGCATTTAAATCAGCAGTTCCCCTGAAGTTTTTGGAGTGATCAATATCTATAGAGAACTGGGCAGACATATCTATCTGTGCTGTAGTGTGTAGGTGGTTAAAACACAGCACTTTCTTTCCAACCAATATTCATGCAGCAAACATATGCTAATCTCAAGATAAAAATAGGGCACAAAAGCTTTATAGACAAATGGGTTTGGTGGTACTGGGGAGCAAAAGCTGTGCATTTGGAGTGATACATTTTACTAAATATAAATCACATGTGTGAAGTAATACATCTTGGGATAGTGATAAGAAAACCTTTGGTTAAGATCAAAATGTGCACTTTATGGTAATAATTGAGGAAAGTCAAGAAGAAAAAAGGAAAGAAAAAAGAAGAGTATATGAGAAGAAGAGAAGGAAAAAAAAAAAACGAAATTCAAGAGAGGCTACTACAATCTGATATTGTACCAGAAAGCATGGCATGATGAGAAAGAACAAGCAGCAGTAAGTCCAAGAAAAGGGAGAAAGAAGATTTGGAGGAATGGCATTACTATTCTATATCTCTTATGCTTCAAGTATGGGAATCCTATTTAGCTTAACTTCTTATTGTGCTAACTCCATTGCTCTGACTAGGAGAAGCATTGGTTATCAGTGAGTTATAGGTATGCTATACATTCAGTCCTGATCCCTTACATCAGTCAAACCCTCCCTCTGAACAGAGCACGAATTCTCAGCTGTCCATACCAACAAAGTCAGTGGTCAATCCTTTCCAAAGAGACCTGAATGAGTCTGTGCCACAGACTGAGTATAAATAAAAATATTTTTAAAAATATTATCATAAAGTAAAAAGGTAGCTTATAGGTTAGGAAAAGTATATACAAATCATATCTCTGATAGGATATTAGTATTCAGAATATACATATAGAACTCCTAAATTTAACAATGATAGAGACAAGAAGCCTGGTTAAAAAAAATGGGCAAAGAACTTCAAGAGATATTTCTCCAAATGAAATATACCAACAGTTAATAAGCATACAGAAAGATTCTCAACATCATTAATCATTAAGGCAGTGCAAATCAAAACCATAATGAGATACCACCTAATACTCATTGGAATGGCTACTATCAAAGATAAAAACAGAAAATAATTGTTGGTGAGAATATGGAGTAATTAGAACCCTTTTCACTCTTGGTGGAAATGTAAAATTGTACAGCCATTGTAAAAAAATATGGTACTCCTCAAAAAATTAAAAATAGTTATCATTTGATGCAGAAATTCCACTTCTGTGTTTCTAAAATAGTTGAAATTGAAGTCTTAAAGACATGTTTATACATCCATGTTCATATCAGCATTATTCATGAATACTAAAAAGTGGAAGCAACGCACTTGACCATTAACAGGTGAATGGAGAAGCAAAATGTGAGAGAACTTCAGAAAGTGTGTGGGAAATGGAATTAAATGAAAATTGTTTTGGTGTAAAAATTTTAAAATTCATAGTTTTTTTCATAATTTCTATGAACATTTTGAGGACTATTCAAACACATGAATTTCAAAAAATTTTTGAACCAGAATAAACTTATATTTTAATTACATTTTTCAAAACCATTTGAAGTTTGCTCAGAGAGTGGAATATTATGCACTCTAAAAGGAAGGAAATTCTTACAAAGATTACAACATAAATGAAACAAGGTCATTCTGCTACGTAAAACAAGTTAATCACAAATTGAAAAATGTGTGTCATCACACTTATATGAGGTACTTATAGCAGTCAAAATCATAGATACAGGAAGTAGAATAGTGCTTCTAAGAGACTGAGGTTAGAGGGAATGGGAATTGTTTACTAGGTATACAGAGATTCAAGTTCACAAAATCA